TCCGCGAGCGGTTCGAGAGGGACTTTCCTGTCCTGCGTCTGCACTCTGACAGAGGTGGTGAGTTCACCTCCGACCTCTTGGCAGCCTACTGTGCGGAGCACGGCGTCCGCCAGACGTTCACGCTTCCGGCCTCTCCGCAGCAGAATAGGGTTGCTGAGCGCCGCATTGGCTTAGTCATGGAGGTCGCTCGTACCTCCATGATCCATGCGGCTGCCCCTCATTTTCTGTGGCCGTTTGCAGTCCGGTACGCCGCGCATCAGCTCAACCTCTGGCCCCGTGTCTCCTTGTCGGAGACCTCGCCCACACTGCTGTGGACGGGGAAGGTTGGCGATGCGTCGCGTTTCCGGGTCTGGGGTGCTCGTGCCTTTGTCCGCGATACCACTGCGGACAAGCTCTCCGCCCGCGCTATTCCCTGTGTCTTCCTTGGCTTTGTCCCTGACGCGCCTGGTTGGCAGTTTTACCACCCCACCTCGCGTCGTGTCTTTGCGTCTCAGGACGTCACGTTCGACGAGTCGGTTCCCTTTTACCGTCTCTTCCCCTACCGCACTGCCCCTCTCCCTCCCCCGCCGCTCTTCCTCGCTCCAGGTGCTCCCCAGGTCGACCCTCTCCCCGCTCCAGGTCCTGCTCCCTCAGGTGTGTCTCAGGTAGACCCTCCTCCCTTCCCTGCGCCGGTTGAGGTCACTGGTGACTCAGGTCCTGCTGGAGGTGGTCCTGCTCGGGGTGCTACTTCTGGGGGTGCTGAGCCTGGGGGTGCGGAGCCTGGGGGTGCTGAGCCTGGGGGTGCGGAGCTTGAGGGTGTAGAGCCTGGAGGTGCTGAGCCTGCGTGTGAGGGGTCTGGAGGTGCTGGAGCTGGTGGTTCTGGGGCTGCTGAGGGTGCGAGCGCTGGAGGTTCTGGAGCTGCTGGAGGTCCTGGTGCTGGTGGCGCTGGAGCTGCTGAGGGTGCTGGCGCTGAGGGTTCAGAGTCTGCTGTTGCGCGGTCTCCTTGGAGTAGCCGCCTTCGTCCACGTGTGCCTCTCACCTCGCAGAAGCTGTACGACTGGTACGGTCGTCGTCAGGGTCGCGCTGCTGGAGCCCGGGGCTCTACTGCTGGAGGTACTTCTGCTGCCGTCCCTGGAGCTAGGAGTGGTGCTGGTACTTTGTCTACTGGAGGTGCTGGAGTCGCTGGTCCCGGAGGTGCTCGTACTGGAGGTACTGGAGCTGCTGGGGCTGGGGGTGCTGCGTCTGGAGGTGCTGCTGCTGGAGACACCGAGGCTGGAGACCCTGGGACTGGAGGTGCTGGTTCTGGGGGTGCTGCTGCTGGAGACGTGGAGGCTGGAGACCCTGGGACTGGAGGTGCTGGTTTTGGGGGTGCTGCTGCTGGAGACGTGGAGGCTGGAGACCCTGGGACTGGAGGTACTGGTTCTGGGGGTGCTGCTGCTGGAGGCACTGGGGTTGGAGACCCTGGGCCTGGAGGTGTCGGTTCTGCTGCTGGAGCTTCTGGAGCTGCTGGAGGTGCTGGAGCTGCTGGGGGTACTGGAGCTGCTGGAGCTGCCGGTACTGGTGCAGCTGCGCCGCCACGACTGTTCTTCGCTCCGCCGTCTCCGTCGTCTCTGCCGCCGCCTGACTCTGTTCTTCGTCAGGTTCTTACTCTCCCGTCGTCTACTGGTCTTCCGTTACAGCCTGGCTCACCGCTGCCTGCTCCTTCTCCTTACACTGAGCAGACAGGTGGTCTTGCTGAGCGTCGTGAGCCTGTGTCGCGTCCTGTCTCGCCTGTTCGTCCTAGTCGTACCGGTCGTCGTGTTCCGCGTCCGCGTTCGCCGCCTGTCCCCACCGCACACCTTGTCGTCCGTCGTCCTTCCTCTGTTCCACAGTCTGTTTCTCTGCCCTCTACTCCTGCGTCTTCCTTGCCTCACGTTCCGGACCCTGAGTCTGACCGGTTTCGTGCTGAGCACCCTACTATCACGCGTCTGCTCGCCACTGTTGTCACTGACCCCTCGTTTGAGTCTGCCGCTACGACTGCTTTGGTTGCTGAACTTGTTGACTTTGCGGCTGCCTGTCGTCTAGACTACGCTGCTAGTCTTGTCGCTGAGTCTGAGTCTGTCTGTCCTCCGTCCGTCGGGGGTGAGTGTGCTCTTAGCACGGACGTCCTTGAGGACAGGCACGAGGACCTTGAGTGTCTTGCAGCCGCTGCGCCTCATCTCGTGACCATGCTGCTTGCCCCTGAGGGAGACCCGGATGCACTAGACATCCCCACCCCGCGCTCGTACGCTGAGGCGGTCGCGGGTCCCTACTCCTCTCAGTGGCAAGCAGCCATGGACGCAGAGATGGCATCCTGGAAGTCCACAGGCACCTACGTCGACGACGTTCCCCCTCCTGGGGCGAACATCGTCAGTGGCATGTGGATTTTCAGGGTGAAGCGGCCGCCTGGTTCTCCGCCTGTCTTCAAGGCACGTTACGTTGCTCGAGGCTTCAGTCAGCGAGAGGGGGTTGACTTCTTCCAGACCTTCTCCCCCACCCCGAAGATGACTACTCTTCGGGTACTGCTGCACGTTGCTGCTCAGCGTGACTACGAGCTTCACTCGCTTGACTTCAGCACAGCTTTCCTGCAGGGCAGCCTGCCGCCCACCCGGCTACACTGGGTCGTTCCCTCCTGGTACCCAGTGGAGCCTCCGCCGGCTAGTCTACGGTCTCCGTCAGGCGCCTCGTGAGTGGCACGACACACTGAGGACTACGCTTGCGGCTCTCGGGTTTGCGCCCTCCACAGCTGACCCGTCACTGTTTCTGCGCACCGACACTTCGCTGCCGCCGTTCTACATCCTCGTATACGTCGACGACTTGGTCTTTGCCACTGCTGACACTGAGGCTCTCGCCCTAGTGAAGTCGGAGCTGCAGAAGAGACACACGTGCACAGACCTGGGTGAGCTGCGCAGCTATCTTGGCTTGCAGATTACCCGGGACAGAGCACGTCGCACCATCACTCTGACTCAGTCACACATGGTGCAGCAGGTCCTTCAGCGCTTCGGCTTCACCTGGTCCTCGGCACAGTCCACTCCTCTGGCTACAGGTCACTCGCTCTCAGCTCCACCTTCGGACGAGTCCGTAGAGCCGAGTGGTCCTTACCAAGACCTAGTAGGCTGCCTCATGTACCTGATGACTTGCACTCGTCCTGACCTTGCGTACCCTCTTGGCCTTTTGGCCCGCTACGTGGCTCCTGGTCGGCACCGAAAGGTGCACTGGGATGCTGCGAAGAGGGTACTGCGCTACTTGTGCAGTACATCGGGCATGGGGCTCGTGCTTGGAGGACGGCGAGAGGTGGTCCTCACTGGGCACTCAGACGCGTCTTGGGTTGACGACCAGGCTACACAGCGGTCGTCACAGGGTTACACTTTCAGCCTCGGCTCTGGTTCTGTTTCGTGGCGTTCTACTCGCTCGTCTTCTGTTCTCAGCTCCAGTTGTGAGGCTGAGATCTACGCCACCGCCATGGCTGCACAGGAGCTGCGCTGGCTCACGTACCTGCTGACCGACCTGGGAGAGCGGCCTCGTTCTCCTCCATTTCTGTACGTCGACAACAAGGCAGCCATTGCCTTGTGTGAGGAGCACAGATTGGAGCACAGAACGAAGCACATCGCTCTGCGTTACTTCCTGGCTCGAGAGTTGCAGCAGCGTGGTCAGCTTCGTCTTGCACACGTGGCCACTCGGGCCAACACTGCTGATATATTCAACAAAGCACTTCCGTCTGGTGATCATGAGCGCTTTTGTACCTTGTTGGGCCTTGTGCCTACGTTTCCACACTTGCTGTAGACTCTGCCTGTACTGTGATCTTTATATATATATATACCTGCATGCTTGCTCTTGCTAGGTAGTGATCACTGTACTTTGTTTGTTGCATATATACCTCTGCATGTGGACTGGCCTTGTGGCCTTTTGCTTGTGCTCAGTGTGTGTGGTGACGTTGTGATCCACCCTGAGCTTGTTTTGTTTCTCTTGACTGGTCTTGTGACCCCTTGTTCTCCCCCACTTTGCCTATGGGGGTGTGTCAAACTATGCATATTGTGTTTGTGTAGGCTGCTAGTGGGGTAGCCCATATGGGGTACAACCCAATGTTAGGGTTAGCTTATGTACCCAACTCTTGATCAATGCATTCATTCTTGTCTCTAGATTCTAACACATCTTTTTGCACCCTGCTTGTACAGTAACACCTTTCACAAGCACAGCAGAATTTTCACTTTCTCCTCATCCATCTAGTTTTGAGTCAACTCAAAACCTTTCACAAGCACAGCAAAATTTTCACGTTCTCCTCATCGATCTTCATGTAGTACTTGAACCGAACTGGTGCTCCTCTCCCCCTCCACTTGCTTGGTTATTGACAGGTATGAAGCCAGCGAAGCATGAGACGAGGCTTGAGGCACCCCAATGATTAACTTTCTGGGCACCTTGAAATGACACATAATGCTTTTTTGGGCAGCTAAAAATCGTCCTGTAATTCATTTGACCTGTTGAAGACAGATCTAGAATCATCTGAAGTACGGTAACAAACAGTTCTCAAGGATTGCCTGCTTTTGAAAATTTAGCGTTGATAATCCTTTTTACTTACACCATTGCCTGGTTGTCTACGTGGCCAACCTAGATCCCAAAACCAGGAATCTCAGCACGCGTGGCTACGTAGAGGGTACGGCCTTAAAACCAATTGCAAAAGTGTCACAGGCACAGTACCGTACAATTTGTTGCAGATATATTTGTACGTTTATGTTATAATCTACACTAATCCCAAGTGTAGCACTATGTTCGATGAGGAGGCATTGCCATGATTAGTGAGGAAACGTTGCATTGCATGGGTTCAGTTCAGTGAGAAAGTGTTGCCATAGTATGCGTTGAATGAGAAAGTATTGGCAAAGGCTCAGAGAGGAAGTATTGCCATGAGTTCGAAAAGAAAGTAGTGGCATACGGTATGGGTTCAGTGAGAAAGCATGTACACAGTATTACTCCCTCTCTAAGCTGCTAACAAGTCGTACAGATATAAGTCACCTTGCAGCTCTTTTAGGCATGTAGGAAGCGTTCCAAGGGCCGCCATCCCTGGCATAGTGATCCATGGGGTACACCCTCTCTTTTTTATCCCCTTTACAAGCTCCACACTGCTTGCACCGTTCCAGCCGCTCCCCTTGCAACCCAGTTCCATCTCCTGTAGCGCTACTCCCAGAACCACGCTCAATACAATCACCTTCATTACAATCCCCTTGCATGTTAGAGTCACTGACACTGTCACAGAAGCAGTTGCCCCACCAGGGGGGAGCGAACCCGAGTGCAACCTCTAGTTCATAGGGAGTGAGCATGGGAGCAGTAAAGGCCTCCCCCCAGTCTATAGACAGTCTTGGACATGCCACCTGCACCCATGCATCAATGCCCGCGCCTCTCCCACTCTCCTTGCTTGTTATGCTGTCCTGCTTCGTGCCTCCTACTGACAGCTCACTGAGGGCCCTGTCCACGTCATCAGCACCAGCTCCTGCCACGTCACCAGCGGCTTCTGTTTCACTCAACCCAATCAACCCGCCAGACCCCATCCCTACAGCAGCTACCTTTTCCGGAGTCAGCTCCGAGACAAGAAACACCACTGGCGTGCCGCCCACAGCGCGGATCCTCCTCACGCAGTGGTCTACAGTGCGAGGGTTACCCTGGTGCCCGAGTGTACCCTGCACAACACCCCACCGCTTCCCCCGCACCCTGCTCGCCCGTGTCACCGCCAGTCGCCGCGCAGATCGCATGCCTGAATGATCGTAACGCTCCCGAGTGAGGGAGCGGGCGTATGGGTCGTAGCGGAATGCTGAGAGGGTGGGGTTTGCGATCATCATTGCTTCGAGGTGAAATCGACCGTCTGAGACAAACACGAGTGCATCTGGCCCGGATCCAGATGCTTCTGCCCCGGCTACCCCTGTTCCTCCTGTTGCTGATTCTTCTCCTGCTCCTGCCCCTGCTGCTGCTCCTCCTGCTTCTGCTCCCGCCGCTGCTACCCCTGCTGCTGCTGCTGCTGCTGCTGCTGCTGCTCCTGCGCCCGTTGTTGCTGTTCTCTCGAACGAGGGAGAGAGGGATGGAGCAGTGCAGCCGAGCACTTCTCCCCCGGATAGGGGCTTGGCCTGAGGCACCGTGATGGCTTTGAAGTGGCCTGACAGGGCCGATTTGGCTGCGTGGACTGCTGCTGTGAACTGGATTGTGCCTGGAGGGATGGGGAAAGAAGAAAGACGAAAGGTGGGAGAAGAGGGAGCGGAAAAAGGTGAGGGAGCGGATATAGGTGGGCTTGGCCTGAGGCACCGTGATGCCTCTAAAGTGGTTTGACAGGGCTGCTATGGCTGCATCAACTGCTGTTGTGAACTGGATGGTGAAACAGGGAAGGGAGAGGGGAGGGAGAGGCGGAAGGGGGATGAAAGGTGGGGGAGGGGAAACAGGGAAGCTTGGCCCGAGGCACCTGGATGGTGCTTTGAAGGGGGGGGAAGGAAGGGGGTGGGGAGAATGAAGGTTGATTTATAGCCGGTGGAACATGATAGATCCAGGGTTAGGGTTTGAGAGGGATTGTAAAGCTCATTTCTCCCTCGGCCTCTCTAACTTTTGCTCTTACCGAATCACACCGCAGATCACGAAACAAACTCACCAGCGAGTACGAGGTGGTCAGTTGGCGGGAAATTGAGCTTCAAGGTGTCGATAAAATGCGGCACGTCGATGGTAATATCGACGAACACGTAGAGGCACGGAATGGCCGTATGATCCAACGGAACCAGGCAGCTATGCCCGTAATGCACCAGAAAATCCGCGCCAAGAGCAGCTGCGGTAACGTCGTCGATGCAGCACGCGCCGTACGTCACGTCGCCTAGAATTACGCAGCTCTCCGCGCCGCCGAACCGCTCGATAATGTCACACAGGGTTGTTGCGAACATCTGGAGGCCCTCGGGAAGCTGCAGCGCGACGCAGCGCGCTTTCGCTTGTCGCACGCGCCAAACGGTTTTGGGAACCTCGAGGTTGTAATTGGGCGGCAGAACTGACATTGCGGCGAGCAGCGCGGGATCTTCCAAGATCTCCCTCGGGATCTGCGAGCGTACGTAGCGCTTCGGCGCGGGTTTCTTTGCTGACGCTGCTGGCGAACCGCTAATCTTGCTAATAGCAGTGCCGCTACTTAAGGTGGTGGTGGCGATGGCGCTAGAGCCGTCCATTGTGTAATCGTACGGTTGTGCACCTGCAGATCGCACCTACCTACCAGCCGTGATGATAGTCAGCAAGCAGCTCATGGTATCACCTGGAGCTGGTGAAATGAGGAGGATTTGCTGTAGAGGTTGACGATTGGGCGACATATTTGCGATGTATTTGCTGGAGCGAAATGAATTGGGGTTCGCAGAATCAAACTCGGGTAGCCCGCGTGCGTTCTCATGTAACTCCGTAACTACCATGGCGATGCGCATGCTATACACCTGTGCCTGGGGCTGTTCCGAGTTTTGGTGTTGAACTGGACAGATGAAATCTTAGGACGCATCCCCTACGCAGGATCGTTTTTTAGCGGGGTTCGAGAAGGCTCTGCTAATTGTCAAACGCATAAAACCGGGTGCGGTTGAGGTTCGATATGCACGATCTATCGTGGTAGGGGACGTGTCCTGACAGGGCTGATGCATCTGACCCCTAAGGGTGTGTCAGATCCGCTAAAATCTGTTCTGGCTGGTTATTAGTCGACCATATTGTCGACAAAATCTTTCGCGAAAGCCGACTACGTGGTCGACTTTGAAGTCGATTACCCATCGGCCACATCTTCAAAACAGACACATTTGGTAGCCGATTTGCAGGCCGTTGTAGGGAAGTGTCAGATTTGCACTTGAAGTTTTGGCCGGATTGTGCGACGGCGTCGTACGTTTGCCAATGATTGGTTCTTTCGTAGTTACCATGCGCCATTCTATCGCATGCGTGAGCATGCGAAGTCGTATGGTAACTGTAGCTCAGCCTGGTCGACTTTCGAGTCGACTGCACGTCGGATTGCTGTCGACTCTTGAAACGGCTAACGGATCTGACAACAAGTGGCCGGATGTGACGACAATCGAAATTACAATGGAACGTCGCATCAACGTTACTTTCGCGAAATCCGGCCAGTCAGATTAGAACGAAAACAGATCTGACACACCCTAATTTGTCAGGCACCTGTCGCCACAATTTGAAATATTTCCGAGACGCATTTCACGATTCAATGATATTGCGGTTCTGAAAGTCTGGACACCATCTGAAGTGTGGACACTTTGGGAGCAATGTACACGTCTCATTGGCTTCCATGCTCCAAGATATCTGGAAACCTATGTGATGACCAATGATTGGGTGTGTTTACACGTCACCGAGGGCCATTTGGGTCGATGGTGCCCAGACTTCTCCCAGAGCAGTGACCTGACCCAGTTTCGAGACCATGTGACTTGCATGCAGTTTCCGCATCAACTCCACATTCGGAATGACACGGCGTTATCCAGTACACCTCCGCTGCTCTTTCGCCAGTGGTCAAATTTTCCACTCATTCACACGTGGCATATCGTTTCATCCACGTCTCAAACGTACGTACGTAATGAACGAGCACGCGCTTCACTGTCATGTGAATTCCGGATGTTCGAAATTGCTGCCAATGGGATCTAGGTTCTTATTGCCTTCTGATTTCACTGGAAAACAAGGTGAGATGCGTCTTTATACGATAGTGTGTGTTACTATACGTTTTACTGCGGTGACAGTTCAAATCATGCCACCAAAGCAAGAAACCATGGCCGTCCAAACGGAGTAGAGCAGCTTCTATCTCCATTCAACCGAAGCCATGGACTCCACCGCTGACAGGCTTGCCGGAACCATGGCCGTCCACCTCAGCGTCTGTAGCTTCGTTCCATCTGTTTCCACTGGGAACCAGAAACCTTGTCAATTACGCAACCGCTTGTGGAACATCCAGAGCAGCCATGGATTTGGGTGATTGGCTGAGCTTGATTTCCGCATCTGGTCCCTCTCTGTCTTCCTTACAGCACCAGCAGGGTAGGGTTCCAAGATCCATGAATCCAAACATGCAAAATATTCTTGCTATTGCTGGCAGTTATCCCTCTCTGATCAGTTACTTCAATCGCATTGCTTCTCCTGATCTGCCATCTCAAAGCAGCCAAAAAACGAAAAATTCCCGTATTTTCCGGCATTTGTTTACATTCCTTCACTCTTATTCGGTACCTGTCGGTTGTCGTTAATCACTATGTCTGGGATCGTCGGTGTCTTTGACCTAGACAGGAGCTCCACCTCCCAGGCAGATTTCCAAGTATCCACCGGAAAAGTTACCGTAACCAACCATCTTCTTCCTCCTCTCCATTCAATCGCCGGTAACGTCGCATCTGCGGAAATATCAGCCGATCAGCATCGACCAAGGAAATCCAATATTCCCGAGTTGAAAACTACCGCCGTTCGCGAGTCGACTCTGGTTGTCATGCCGGCAGGCCGTCACTTGATATGCCACGTGAACCACGCTCCTTGCAAGAAGCCCGACCGCAGTTGCAACAGGTCAGTCAGTGAAGTCCGTCCTTCCGACCGCCAAATTCGCGCATTGATTTCGCCGAATTTCCTCCGGTGGGTTACCGCAATGGCCATGTGGCTGCTTCCACAGCGAGATATGTTCCAACCTTCAACCGTCAGCCTACCGCTCTCCTTCTCGCCTTCTCCCTTCTCCCCTTTTTGCCTTTGTAAAATTTGCCGTTTTTGTTTTTTAGGTCCTGAATGGACATTTCTTGTTCCCTGCTGTTACAGTACCGATGGCAACAGCAGCGGCGGCACCTCGTGCGACTCTCTCTGCCTTGGCGAAATGGTGTGCGACTATCTCGAGAACGAGTGCGACGCCTGCGATCCGTGCGATGCCTGTGACGTTGCGTGCGACGTTGACGTCGCCTGCGACAACACTACTAGTGATGACGACCGCGGGTGTTGCGGGACCTGGCAGACATGGAAAGCGGCAGCAGGAGCAGCAGGAGCAGCAGGAGCAGCAGGGGCAGCAGCACCAGCAGCTGTTGTGCCGAGACAGGTTTCAGAGTCTCTGTCGTTTGCAGCATCAAACAGCCTCGAACGGCTCGTTTCATTAGTTGAGGTCAGTGCGCTTCTAAGCTTGCGGTCTTTAGTTTGCGGGTCTTAAGCTACCGGTTGTATGTACCTTACGCTCTACTACCTGGATGAGAAGCACCACTCATCTTATTCACTTTACTTTCTTGTTTCTGTTTACCCCCCTCCCCCTCCCTCTCCCAACCTATCCTTCTTCATTCTGCAACCACGCAGTTGCTTAGCTTCTGTGAGGCGCCAGAGGAGTATGCAGTTGTTGAAATCGTCTATGCTGCCATAAAACATGCTCACAGCACGCCAGTGGCGTTTTGCATCCCCCGCCTACCTCCTCTCCCCCTTCTTCCTCTCTCAACAGACCCTCCGTTGCTGCGAGACGCCAGAGGAATCTGCAGTGTTTGAGATCGTCTCTGCTGCCATGAAGCACGCTCACACCACGCGTGCCTCTTTTTTCATTCCCCCCCTGACCCCTTCCCTCCTTACTCCGCTTTCAACAGACCCTCCGTTGCTGCGAGACGCCAGAGGAGTGCAGTGTTTGAGATCGTCTCTGCTGCCATGAAGCACGCTCACACTACCACACCTGTCTCGTTCGGCAGACATTTGCTCGTGTGCTGCATCATCTCCCCAGGCCCACGTCCCCCCTTTCCGCTTTCCCCTCCCCCCACCCCCTACCCTCTTTCCCCGTCCCTTTTCCCCTTCCCCCCTCCACGCTTTCCTCTAGCAGACCCTCAGCTGTTGTGAGGCGCCAGAGGGGTATGCAGTGCTTGAAATCGTCTCTGTCACCATGAGGCACGCTCACACCACACCTTCCCATTTCCCCTCCCCCTTTCCCTCTTCCCCCTCCACTCTTCCCCCTAGCAGACCCTCAGCTGCTGTGAGGCGCCAGAGGAGTACGCAGTGCTTGAGATCGTCTCTGCTGCCATGAAGCACGCTGACACCACGCGTGCCTCTTTTTTTCATTCCCCCCCTGACCCCTTCCTTCCTTACTCCGCTTTAACAGACCCTCAGCTGCTGTGAGACGCCAGAGGAGTACGCAGTGCTTGAGATCGTCTCTGCTGCCTTCAAGCACTCTGACACCACACCTCTTGACGTTAGCATAAGAAGCAGCAGGAGCATACGCAATACGGTGGTACAGCAGCTGCAGGCGCGGGGGTACGATGCTGCAGTGTGCCATGCCCACTGGAAGTGCTTCAAAGGCTTTCCTCATGGTAAGAGCTGGAATGGCTGGTAAATGTGTGCCCAGGGTAACGACTTTCGAGGCGCCTCAAAAACCAGCAGCTGCAGGCGCAGGGGTACGATGCTGCAGTGTGCGATACCCACTGGAAGTGCTTCAAAGGCTTCCCTCATGGTGAGCGAACCACAATGACCTGTCAGAAATTTAGAAAACCGTGGGAGGCTTTTGCTAAATGTGTACCTGTCGACCCAAACGTGTGCCATGTTCACTGGAAGTGCCTCAGAGGCATCTGCCGTGGTGGGTGGGAGGCACCAGCTTTTGTACATCTGCACCTCAACAGTTAATCAATGCTCCCCCTCGCTTCTCCGTGCCTCCTGTTTTTTCTTCCCCTTGTTTTCTTCCCCTCGTTTTTCTTCCCCTCGTTTTTCTTCCCCTCGTTTTTCTTCTTGTCGTTTTTCTTCCCCTCATTGCAGGTTGCCATGACTTCTGTGACGTCATTCTTCAGCCATCCACCCCCAACCGTCTGCCCACCCGTTTAATAATCGACCCCGATTTCCGGGCACAGTTTCAAATCGCCCATCGCACACCGCACTACAACTACATCCTCCAGCTGACCCCACTTTTTTTTGTGGGCTGCCCGGACCGGCTGCACCAGCTGGTGAAAGTTTTGTGCGAGGCGGTGTGGCTGTCGATGCACGCACAGGGATTGCATGTGCCCCCGTGGCGCAGGCACCAATACGTGGCTGCCAAGTGGACTGCTGCTTATTCCCACCGCGTTGCCGTCTCTGCAGAGCGCTTGGGAGATGGAATGCCTCCTCCTGCTGCTGCGGCTGCTGCTGCTGTTGCTGCTGCTGCAGCTGTTGCAACTCCTACTGAAGCTGCTGCTGCTGCTGCTTCTGCTGCTGTTGCTGCTGCTGCTGCTTCTGCTGCTTCTGCTGCTTCTTTGTTCAGCTCCATTGCGCAAAATGCACCAGCGGCTTGCATGTCAGTGAACCCACCACTAAAACCAGATGAAGGGCCGTTTAGGACCCCTTGCCGTGCCACTCGTCTCCACCAGCAATGCAGGAGCGCCCTGCCAGGCGGCAGAGGAGGAGGAAGAGGAGGAGGAAGAAGAGGAGGAGGAGGAGCAGAGGTGGTGGGACTGCTTGCGAAAGGGATGCGGCAGCTGGCTTTGCAAGGGGAAGCGGAGAAGCAGCTGCAGGTGGCGATGCTAACAAATCAATATTCCGGCGATGTTAACAGTTTTGCAGCGACGTCTGGTGCATGCGAGCATGCTGCTGGGATGCCGTGAAGGTTGCAGGACTGCACAGTGCATGTCACAGCACACATACACACTTATCTGAGATGAGGCGAGTTGTGTGGCATCTCAAGTACCTGGCGAAACACGCACCTGCAGCAACGCCCGCTGAATGTGAGCCTGCTGTTGGAGATGTTAGGGTGGCATGTCATGCCATGACGGCTGTAGCACTCAATACTGAACACAACTCTCCTGCCTCGAGATGAGATTTTTTTTGGGGGGGGCGCCTTCAAAGCCTGTTGACGCAAGCAGCTGCTGTGCCTTCCATTCCGAGAATAATTAGGGTGTTTTGTTGCATGGCTGAAGGGTTAAATGTTAATGTGGGAGATGAATTACAGCATACAAAAGGTGCTAACAGTTTCACATTTCGTAGAGGAGGTTATCTACCTCACCTCTTGAGACCGTGATGCACCGAATTGAGCCGCTCCATCTGACTCTGCTGCACTGAGCCTCAAATCGCGATTGCACGCAGCAGCGATTCGGACTAGGGCTATTCAACAAGTTGTTGTGTAAGTAGCCTTAGTCCAGCAGCTACGTACCTCCATCGCCTGCTCGTTTATCCAAGTCGTGGCTGCGTTCATTCGTACCTTAGCCGTCAGCGCGGGACTGTGCGTGTTGACCGGCACAGTCTCGTACGTCCTTAGTCGTGCTCGTAGGGTTGTTTCCAAATTAGCGTACCCTTCATCTCCACTGTGCCAACGCGTTCTGAAGGCGTGGCGCTAGAGAGGCCTGCAGCGTACAGAGGGTGTTTGTAGTGCGGTCAGGGTCTTCTAGCATTCAGAGAGTGTTAACTCGCCGGCACTCTTGTCCTGAGTTTCGTGCTCTGCAGGTGGGGAGTCTCGAATTCACGGTAGGGTGTTACTTTTGAGAATTCTCAAAAGTAAAATTCTCAAAAGCGACTTTTGAGAATTCTCAAAAGTGACTTTTGAGAATTCTCAAAAGTCGCAATTCTCAAAAGCGACTTTTGAGAATTCTCAAAAGTGAGTTTCGTGCACTGCAGGTGGGGAGTCTCGAATTCACGGTAGGGTGGTGGAGTGGAGACGTGTCCATATCGACCTTTGAGGCGTCTCAAGACTCGGTGGGGAATTTCGAATACTGAGCTGATTGGTACCACGGGGAGGGTGTGATTGTAACGGTAATTTTTCCGCATATGCACGCGTGATTTAATTTCTTAGTGGTTCGTGTCGGCATCTAACAGCCAAGGTGTGACTCCGTGGCGAATATCAGTGCGTGTAGTAGTTATCTATTTTCTAGCAGTTTATAGAGCGAATAAATTCCACGTTCTACTACCAGTAGAGGGCCCTCTTTTGCGGGGATATATCGATCTTGAAGCGGCGTTAAGCCTTGAGCATGCCGAAGCGCACGACGCGCACGTACTCTAGCGAAGACGCGGAGCCGCAGGGAGATAAGCAGGAGCTGATCGTGTACTACTGCAAGCAATGCGGCGCCCATGTCCTTATAACAGGCAGGTGTTTATATCGGGTATGTTCTTGTAGCGGTTAAAACCCAAGGAGCTGATCGTGTATTACTGCAAGCAGTGCGGCGCGCATGTGCTTATAACAGGCAGGTGTTTATAGCGGGTGTGCTTTTATAACGGGTAGGGTGTTATATCCCAAGGAACCGCAGGGAGATAAGCAGGAGCTGATCGTGTACTACTGTAAGCAGTGCGGCGCGCATGTGCTTATTACAGGCAGGTGTTATAGTGGGTGTGTTCTTGTACGGGGTATGTTCTTACTTATAATTGAGAAGCTGTGTATATTGAAGGAGCCGCAGTGAGATATGAGGCGCCTCAAAACTCGTGTACTGCTGCAAACAGTGTCCCTTGCACATGCATACACGGGTTTGGGGCATGGCATGGCAGGCGGGCAGTCAGCTGTCAGAGCTTCTTTTGAGTCGACATGTGATGAGCCGAATTTTGAGCCGACTCATAAATGGTGTGCACGTGCATACATGGGATGGTGCATGGCGTGCCAGGCAGACAGTCAGCTGTCGGAGCTGCCGCGGCGCAGGACGGATGGGGCGATGGTGATGGAGAAAGCGAAGCACCTCATGCGCCTTAATGTCGTGGAGACGGGCAAGCAGCTTCTCAAACGGTGAGCAGTGGTGGAGTGTGGTTGAGTGCGGTTGTTAGTGGTTGAGTGCGGTTGAGTGTGCTTGAGAGTGGTGGGAGGTGGGTAATTACCTGGCAGTGCTGCCCCACAGGACGGATGGGGCGATGGTGATGGAGAAAGAGAAGCACCTCATGCGCCTCAATGTCATGGAGACCTGCAAACAGCTGCTCAAGCGGTGAGCGGTGGTGGAGTGTGGTCGAGTGTGTTTTTTTGTTGTGTTTGTCGATGCCACCCCTCCCCACTGGCCCCCTCCCTCCCTCTCTCCAAAATTCCCCTTACTACTGGTGTTAAGGCAAGGAGGAGGGAGAGGCAGTACCGCATGGGGCGTGGGGGAGTGTGGGGTGATGACGGCATATCGGAGCAAGCGAGGAGAGCAAGGAGAGCGATTGCTTAAACCCATCATCCCCTCTCTCCTCCTGCACTGTTCTCTCCTCATTCTCTTTTTGTATTTTCCCGTTGATTCAGGGGCAAAGGCAAGGTGGAGAGGCAGTACCGCATGGGGTGTGGCGAGTGCGGGGTGATGGTGACATGCCCCCACCCCCCTTCCCCCTATCCCCCCTCCCCCTCATTTTCCCCCTGCCTCCCCACTCTGTCAGAGGGGAGGGCAAGGTGGAGAGGCAGTACCGCATGGGGTGTGGCGAGTGCGGGGTGATGGTGGCGTATCGGAGCGAGGAGAGCATGGAGGGCGCCAAGTTTGTCTACATTCCTGCTGATGCCCTTACTGATGCCACTGCCGACACCAAGCCTAAGGTACTTGCACTCACTTGCTAGCTTTCTCTCATATGCACATGCTGCTGAGAAGTTCACACGCAGCAGCAGCCGGGTACTCACACAGCAGCGAGGAGAGCATGGAGGGCTCCAAGTTTATATACATTCCTGCTGATGCGCTCACTGACGCCACTGCCGACACCAAGCCTAAGGTACTCGCTCTCTCACAGCAGCAATGTACCCGGTTCAGTGATGCACACTGTGCGTACACACAGCAGTGAAGGTGGCGTATAGAAGCGAGGGGAGCGTGGAGGGCGCCAAGTCTGTTTACATTCCTGTTGATGCCCTCACTGACGCTACTGTCGACACCAAGCCTAAGGTATTCGCAAGCAATCTTTGAGAATTCTAAAAAAAACTCAAAAACTCTCAAAAATTGCGGACACCAGGCCTAAGGTACTCGCTCTTACTCGATTGTTTACTCACATGTACACACACAGCTATGACATTCACATACAGCGGCAAGGGAGCTAAGTTTGTGTACATTCCATCCGATGCCATCACTGCTGCCACTGCCGACACCAAGCCTAACGTACTTGCACTTACTTTATTGCTTACCATTTACATAAGCACACACAGCGACGAGGTGGCGGCGGGGTCAGAGGATTGGGCTTAAGACGATCCCTATTCGTCCTCTAAGTTACTATTCTCTTTTTCTTTCTGTGCCGCGAACTTATCAGGATGCACCAGTGCCGCCCTGCATTCAGGAGCTAGACAGCGGGCCGGTGCAGGTGGCAGTGGAGGTTGGGGGATCATAGGGCTAATCACGGTTCCCATATCTTCCATCCTTCCAACCATCTTTGTCTTGCGTGTCTACCTCTCAGGACGCTCCCGTCCCCCCCGTGGATCCAGGAGCTGGACAGCGGGCCAGTACAGGTGGCTATAGAGGTGGAGGAGGAGAGGTCTCAGCGCGTTCTTCATGACTATTCCGAGTCCTCTGTTTCCGTGTACTGTACTGGATGCACATATACCGCCCTGCATCCAGGAGCAAGACAGCGGACCGGTGCAGGTGGCAGTGGAGGGGGAGGGCCGGGCTCAACGTGTTTCCATACCTCCGCTATGTGCCTTACAGGATGCACCCGTGCTGCCCTGCATCCAGGAGTCGTGTTTTGATTCGACCCAAAACACGACCCATTTTGAGTCGGCTCAAAACACGACTCATTTTGAGTCGACTCAAAACACGACTCATTTTGAGTCGACTCAAAACACGACTCATTTTGAGTCGACTCAAAACCCGACGCATTTTGAGTCGACTCAAAACACGACTCATTTTGAGTCGACTGAAAACACGACTCATTTTGAGTCGACCCAAAACACGACTCATTTTGAGTCGCCTCAAAACACGACTCATTTTGAGTCGACTCAAAACACGACTCATTTTGAGTCGACTTAAACACGACTCATTTTGAGTCGACTTAAAACACGACTCATTTCATGCAGGTGGCAGTGGAGGGGGGGGGGGGCGGGCTCAGTTTTTTTCCATACCTCCTCTATATGGCCGGGCTCTTTTCTGTTCTTCTCTGTTCTGTTCCGCTCTGTCTCTATGTGCCTCTCAGGATGCACCAGTGCCACCCTGCATCCAAGAGCTGGACAGCGGGCTGGTGCAGGTGGCAATAGAGGTGGAGGATAGGGCTCAACATGCTTTCTTCCCATGCTTCCTCTGAGTGACTGTTTTTCTTTCTGTTCTGTTCTGTTCTGTTCTGTTCTGTTTCCACTCCGTTTCTGTGTACCTCCTCCCAGGATGCGCCGGTACCCCCTTGCATTCAGGAGCTGGACAGCGGGCTGGTGCAGGTGGCAATAGAGGTGGAGGACCGGGCTCAACGCTCTGCTGTTCTTCGTACGTCACTCTCTCACTCTCACTCTGTCACGCTCACTCTGTCACTCTCACTCTCTCACTCTGTCACTCTCACCCTTTCACTCTCACACACTGTCTCTGTTTCGCTCTCTCACTCTCACGATTTTACTCACTCGTCAAGTCACGCTCTCGCTCTGTCAATATGACACCTCTTTCACTTCGTTACTGTGTCGACTTTCAGAAAAAAGTAGGCGTTAAATTGAAATCACTTTTGAGAATTCTCAAAAGTAATTTCAAAAAGTAGGCGTTAAAAGCTCATGAATTCTTCAAGCCGTTTGTATTCAAGCTTCAACCGAGTTTCAGACTTCTCCTTTGTGAGTTGCTCAAATCTGTCTGATCCGATTATCCAATTCACCTTTGCATTTGTCGGATGCATTGTATCCTCTTCCTCTGCTCCAGGCATCAACGCAGACGATGTGCAGGTTGCAGAGACAGCAGCAGCGCATCAGGACAAACGTTTTTTAAGGCGTCTTAAAAGTCCTCTCCCCATCCCCCATTCAACCAGGCATTAACGCAGATGATGTGCGAGTGGCGGTGACAGCAGCGGCACACAGGGGCAACGAGGCGAGTGCAGAGTTGATGGAGTTCCTAGCTAAGGTGAGATGGCGATGGTGATGTGTCATCAAATGCCTTTGTATCGTAAGATTGTCAACCGTAGTCTGCGCGGCGCATAGGGGCAACGAGGCGAGTGCAGAGATGATGGAGTTCCTAGCTAAGGTGAGATGGTGTGGGCTGTGGATGCAGCAGCAGTAAGTACATGCCCTGCCATACATGTCATTGTATCCTTGTCAATCATCAACAGCATTGGTGCATAGGCGCAACGAGGCGAGTGCAGAGCTGATGGAGTTCCTAGCTAAGGTGAGAGATGGAGATGCATCTTCCTCTTACCACCACCATGGCACTCCATGTGGTGAGATGATGGCAGTGGTGACAATGTCAAGGTGGCTTTTGAGTCGACTCAAAAGTCACCATGTGGTGAGATGGTGGCAGTGGTGGTGATGTCACCCGATGCATGTCACTGTCACCATCTTTGTCGGCCGGATTCCAATCTGAGATGGGTGTGGATGTGCTGCTTATGCATGCCATGCGAGACACCATCCATGCCATACATGTTGTTCTATGCCATCAGCCTTCCTTGCCCTCTCCATGAGACGCTGGGGCTGTCTAGTTTTGAGGCGCCTCAAAACATGCCATGCGAGACTGAATACCATCCATTGCCATACATGTCGTTCTATGTCATCAGCCTTCCTTCCCCTCTCCATCAGACGCTGGGGCTGCGCCTTGTGCAGCTGAGACTGCAGCGAGGGTGGTCTCACTCCTCTCCCCCCCACACCTCCCCACTTCCCCCCAAAACACCTGCCAAGCACCTGCTCCCCCCCCCCCCCCTCCCCACCCCATCAGAAGTTGGGGCTGCGCCTGGTGCAGCTGAGACTGCAGCCAGGGTGAACTTTGTCCTCTTCCCCCCGCACCTCCCCACCTTTCCCCAAACACCTGCCTCACCGATTGTCATCAAACAAACCCTTTCCCCACCCCATCAGACGCTCGGGCTGCGCTTGGTGCAGCTGAGACTGCAGCGGGGGTGGTCATCTAAGTCCAAGATGCTCATGGTATGTGCAGGGCAGTTACCGTGTAACCCTGTATGGGATGTTACTGCTCCGTTACTACATGTATGTGTTCTACTGAGACTGCAGCGGGGGTGGTCATCTAAGTCCAAGATGCTCATGGTATGTGCAGGGCGGTTGTCACTTAGTAACTCTGCATGTACTGGCCGTAACGGGTCTGTTGTGCGTAGTCATCGTAACAGCATTCCAGCGAAGGTGGTCCTCCCAAGTCTAAGATGCTCATGGTATGTGCAGCTGCGCTGCAGCTGCGCTTTCGTGAAAATGCATGGCAGGCTGTACACCCAACAGTTGATCATTTGTGAAGGCTGATTATATCTATTTTAGCAATAGCTTTGGCTTGGCACCTCATCCCTCGCTCCTTTCATTGTCTCCATCCCATTTTTCCACCTCTTTGCCTATTTTTTCTGGCAGGTTGAAGACCTAACAGCTAGACAGGTGTATGAGAAGCTATTGGCTGCTGCGCAACAATGAAATAGCGGCCCCATGAGTCTATACTAGTCAAGTTGATAGGAATGTGAGCAACCATTTATGAATTTTGCATCATCCTGCACAATTTGTAGATTTGCTACACTATTGAATGCCAGTGAAAGTTTTTCTCGGCTTTGAACAGATGAGGCGGCAGTGACGAATTGCTCAAAGTCGGATTAGGTCAGGCTAGTCAGGTCGCGGTTCTGTATCCGTCCGATGATTCGTTGTCAGGCCTTCGGGCCATCCTTCTCGTCCACGTCATTTTTCCCGCCAACTACAAGCAGGCAGGTCCCCACTCCCACTATTGGCGCAATCTCATCCACTCACACGTCCGCTCGTTGCATCCACGAATCGCCCATCTGGGTTACACATTTCCGCCCATAGATCACATGCGCAAGCACCAGACTTCTCCGCCAGCTTGTGCGCCCGCCAGCTATGGCTCCTTCGCCTTTCGCTTCATTCGGCAATCTCGAGGCGACGGGCAACTTTTGGCAGTGTTGGGTTCAGAAGTTTTTTTTTTGAACCAGGCTTGCCAGCGCGAAAGTGTTGGCTGGCGAAAACCAGGATTTCGTGCAGACACTTTTCATCTGCAGTAACAGTTCGCCAGGGTTCTGGGTTTTGGGTGGCAAATGTGCACCGTCGCTTTAAAAACGACGAGAACTTTCTTCCACCCTGATCAAACTCCCCTTTAAAATCCTTCCAGCCGTTTTCAACCTTTCCACGACTTTCTCCAAACCTCTCAGCCCCTTGGAGCCCTTCCAAGCCCTCCTGCCCCCTCCAAGTGCCATTGATGCAAAATCTATCTGCACTGCAAACCAGAGCGATCTAGGAAATTGTTTGGAATAGCTGCTAGATTTGCCGTTTTCCCGGTTGTTGCTAGAGTTGGAGCTAATTAGTGGCTGCTGAGGTTCGCCACTAAATCAGTAAACGCTAGTTTCGAGTGGTAAATGTGACCCTTTTTTAGGCCAGCTTGGTCCGTTGCGAAATTGACCCTTTCTTAGTCTATCTGCAGAACATAGTGACTCGATGGATCGGCGGGGTTTACGAGCAGCCATTTTCATAGCAGCCGCTGTTTCGTTGTTAACTTCTGTCTCGGCAAGCGCTGGCGATACGGATCCGACATTCCAGTAAGTAAAGCACTGACAATCTTCGCCAAGAAAGAAGGTGGAAAGAAGAAAAAAGTATAAGCTAACAAAAAAACGACTGATATGCTTCAGTCTGGTGACTGCTGCTCTTGGTAGCTTATAACCAGATAATCGACGTAGAACTGATAAATAGTTAATCAGCCGTGTGTGGCCGTCGCGACAAGTCCCACACAAGCGACAATCAAAGTGGATCTGCTCGTTGTAGCCCCTTACGTCAATCACGTTTCCCGTCTTCTTCAGTCTGCGTCTTTTTCCCGCGTTTCCCCTCCAGAAGCTTTGGATCCGTTGATGCTTTCATGCTCGATTGCTCAATCACGTATTTATAGCTCATTCAAGTGACGCAATCATGGATTTCTACTTCATGTAACCTCAAATCTGGCAGCATATCCTGATTCAACATCTGGTCAATTTGTCCGCTCAGTAACGTACACGGCGTCCCGCATCGTACCGTATTCTAGGTCGTCGCAGCTTACTGCACTACAGATCGTGATCGTCGCAAGTCACCGCGTTTTTGGTTGTCGCATGGTACCATACTCGAGATCGTAGCATCACACGGCATTCCCTAGGCCATCGCAATGTACTGCACCCTAGGTCGTCGCATGATACCGCATTCTAGGTCGTCGCGTGGTGCCTTACTGCAGGCCCCGTGCCATCCATAATACCCCGCTCCGTACCTCCACCACCTTCCATGAGTGACAGGAAGTTTTGATTTATGTGGCCATCCAGCTCTTGCCCGAAACCAATACCGGTCGGGAATGTGGCTCTTGATGTTGCCACCCATAATACCCCGCTCTGTACCTCCACCACCTTCCATAAGGGACAGGAAGTTCCGATACATCTATGACCATCTCCCGTAAACGATACCCCTCAGAAATGTGGCTCATGATGCTTTCGTTTTAGTGTCGAATTTCTAATTAATGCGAAGTACATCAAACACTCAATTTCTACACGTTATGCAACGAGTGTACTCCTTCAGTACTCTCCTACTATGTCCAGTCGGTCCAAGTTTTGAAAGTCTCGAGACACCGAACCCTCCCTCTCCTGTTAGCGCCAATTGCGCTGCTCTTTCCCCTCCTTATCTTTTTACCTCCGTATCTGAATTTTGCCCTCCGTTCCGGTCATTTCCCATCACTTACTGTCATTTCCCATCACTTAACTTTTACCCCCCTCACTTGCTCTTCAGGACGTGCCTGGTTGACTGCCAGAAAACAGGATGCGTGGCCGACCACTGCATTCCGGGCTGCCCGCCTGCAGCTAATTCTGACGGATTGGTGACGGCTCCGTTAGAGCTCCGTCTGCTGCGGTGGGACTGCGAGAACGAGTGCAAGTACCAGTGCATGCGCGATATTCAAATGCCCGGGGTGCCTCAAGTTCAGTACTACGGCAAATGGCCCTTCATCCGCGTTTTTGGCTTCCAGGTGAGACTCCTTTGAAGGCCTGTCTTTTAACGAGGTATGACTGCGAGAGCGAGTGTAAGTACATGTGCATGCGCGATATTCAGATGCCTGGGGTGCCGCAAGTGTAGTATTACGGCAAATGGCCTTTTATCCGCATTTGGGGTTCCAGGTGAGACTCGTTTGAAGGCATGTCTTATAACGAGGTGGGACTGCGTGAGCGAGTGCAAGTACCAGCGCATGCGCAATACCAGGCATGTCTTATTACGGAGAATGGCCCTTCATCCGCGCTTTTGGCTTCCAGGCGAGTCTCAAATTTAACACTGTTTTTGAATTAGTACCTTATAGCCCAACATGCCTCATAGCCCACCATGCCTCATAGTTCATCATGCCTCATAATTCATCATGCCTCATAGTTCATCATGCCTCATAGTTCATCATGCCTCATAGTTCATCATGCCTCATAGTTCATCATGCCTCATAGTTCATCATGCCTCATAGTTCATCATGCCTCATAGTTCATCATTCCTCATAGTTCATCATGCCCCATAGTCTCACTCCCTCCCTCCCTCCCTCCCTCCCTCCCTCCCTCCCTCCCTCCCTCCCTCCCTCCCTCCCTCCCTCCCTCCCTCCCTCCCTCCCTCCTCCCCTCCCTTCCCCCCTCCCTCTCTCCCCCTCTCCCTCCCCCCCCTCCCTCCCTCCCCCCCTCCCTCCCCCCCTCCCTTCCCTCTCTTCCAGGAAATCGCGTCCTCCGCCTTCTCCATCCTCAACTTCCTCGCCACGCTCTATGGCCTCTACTCCTTCCTGTGCCTCGTGTATGTGAAGCTGCCCCGCAAGCCAATGGGCAACAAGGGCCCGCTATACGAGTACTCCACGCTCATGGCCATCTACGGGCTCTTCGCCCTCAACTCCTGGCTCTGGAGCGCCATCTTCCACGCTAGGTGCGTGCACAGGGTTCTACCCGGTGCAGGTGCTACCCGGTGCAGGTGCTATCTGGCGCAGGTGGTATCTGGTGTGGTGCAAGCAGCTGCCGCGCAAGCCCATGGGCAGCAAGGGCCCGCTCTACGAGTACTCAACGCTCATGGCCGTTTACAAGCTCTTCGCGCTCAACTCCTGGCTCTGGAGTGCCATCTTCCACGCCCGGTATGTTTCCCCCACCTCCTAGCTCTGCTGTATGGTCCATGAGTATCTGGTGCGGGTGGTATCTGGCGCACATGATATCTGGAGCGCCATCTTCCATGCCCGGTACGTGCTCAGGTGGTGTTTGGTGCAGGTGGTATCTGGTGCAGCTGGTATCTGGTGCAGGTGGTATCTGGTGTGCTGCCAGCTGCTGCTGCCTCGCAAGCCCATGGGCAGCAAGGGCCCGCTATATGAGTACTCCACGCTCATGGCCGTCTACAGGCTCCTCGCCCTCAACTCCTGGCTCTGGAGCGCAATCTTCCATGCCCGCTACATGTGCAGGTGGTATCTGGTGCAGGTGGTATCTGGTGCAGGTGTTATCTGGTGCAGTGTTATCTGGTGCAGGTGTTATCTGGTGCAGTGTTATCTGGTGCAGGTGTTATCTGGCCTGAGGTCGATTTCGCTCTTCCATCCATCCCCCTCCCCTTTTCACCATCCATCCCTCTCTCGTTGTCCTCTTCATCCCTCAGGGATGTCTGGGCGACCCAGTCAGGGGATTGCACATGAGGCCTCTCTCGTTGTCCTCGTCATTGCTCTCATTGGCATGTTGCTGCTCGTCTGCATCATCCGCATCAGCAGCCTGAGGACTTGAATACCCTTTCCATCTATACCCCCCTCCTTATCTTTACCCCCAAGCCTCTCTCTGCAAGGAGATACCAGCCACAGAAGCATGGCGACTACACATCAGCCTTTGCCCTCATTGGCGCTCTCTTCTTCAACCTCTCTTGCTCACCACTGCAGGGACGTCTGGGCGACACAATCTGGAGATTACACATCAGCCATTGCCCTTATCGGCATGTCACTGCTCGTCTGCATCATCCGCATCAGCAGCCTGAGGGAGGAGGCCACACGGGTCATGGTGGCAGCGCCTGTGATTGCGTTCACCACCACTCACATATTCTACATGAACTTCTACACCTTTGACTTTGGTGAGTGGGGAGTGTATTTATGAAGAGTATGATTGTACTGGGTGGGTGTGACTGTAGCGAGCAGCCTGAGGGAGGAGGCCGCAGGGGTAGTGGTGGCAATATCTGTCAGAGGCACCTTTGCCCGCGCCCCTAATAGTTCCTCCTTTTACAATCCTCTCTTTACAATCCCTTTCTCCTAAATGCAGATTGGAACATCACTGTGTGCACTGCCATGGGGTCACACAGCTGCTGCTCTGTCTGGACCAACTACGCCATTGCCAGCTGGCACCCCATAAAACTCACCTCTTCTCCACTCCACTGCACCTATCCTCCCTCCCCACTCCTTCCCAACCTTTCCCATCCCTTTCCACCCCTCCCCACCTTCTTTCCTCGCCCAATACACCCATTGACAATTGCAGATTGGAACATCGTAGTGTGCAATGCCATGGGGATCACACAGCTGGTGCTCTGGACCATCTGGGCCATTGCCAGCCGGCAGCCTTCCACGCCTCACCTCTTTATACCTCACTGCACTCCTTCCACAACAGATTGGAAAATCGTAGTGTGCACTGCCATGGGGGTCACACAGCTGCTGCTCTGTCCGGACCATCTGGGCCATAGCCAGCCTGCAGCTTTCCACGCCTTACCTCTTTATACCTCACTGCACTCCTTCCACAACAGATTGGAACATGGTAGTGTGCACTGCCATGGGGGTCACACAGCTGCTGCTCTGTCCGGACCATCTGGGCCATAGCCAGCCTGCAGCTTTCCACGCCTTACCTCTCCTCTAATGCACCCCTCCTGACTTTTGAGTCGACTCAAAAGTCACCTCGTTACTATGGCACACGATATTTTTGAGTCGACTCAAAAGTCACCTCGTTACTATGGCACACGATATTTTTGAGTCGACTCAAAAGTCACCTCGTTACTATGGTACACGATATTTTTGAGTCGACTCAAAAGTCACCTCGTTACTATGGCACACGATATTTTTGAGTCGACTCAAAAGTCACCTCGTTACTATGGCACACGATATTTTTGAGTCGACTCAAAAGTCACCTCGTTACTATGGCACACGATATTTTTGAGTCGACTCAAAAGTCACCTCGTTACTATGGCACACGATATTTTTGAGTCGACTCAAAAGTCACCTCGTTACTATGGCACACGATATTTTTGAGTCGACTCAAAAGTCACCTCGTTACTATGGCACACGATATTTTTGAGTCGACTCAAAAGTCACCTCGTTACTATGGCACACGATATTTTTGAGTCGACTCAAAAGTCACCTCGTTACTATGGCACACGATATTTTTGAGTCGACTCAAAAGTCACCTCGTTACTATGGCACACGATATTTTTGAGTCGACTCAAAAGTCACCTCGTTACTATGGCACACGATATTTTTGAGTCGACTCAAAAGCCAGCCTGCAGCTTTCCACGCCTTACCTCTCCTCTAATGCACCCCTCCTCCCCCCTCCCTTTCCCCTGCTTCTCTCGCCGCTGCACTCCCCACTACACTCCCCCCTGCAGGTTGGAACATGGTTGTGTGCACAGCAATGGGAGTCACACAGCTGCTTCTGTGGACCATCTGGGCCATAGCCAGTTGGCAGGCACATCACCTCTCCTTCCACCTCTCTTCCCCCACTACTTCCCCCCTGCAGATTGGAACATGGTAGTGTGCACTGCCATGGGGGTCACACAGCTGCTCCTCTGGACCATCTGGGCCATAGCCAGCCGGCACCCGTCTGCCTGGAAGGTTCTCTTTGTTTCGGGCGGCACAGCCTTTTCCTTGCTGCTCGAGCTCTACGATTTCCCACCGATTCTGGGCCTGTTTGACGCGCACTCGCTGTGGCATGCGGCCACTGTGCCGTTCACGCTCGTGTGGTGGAGCTTCCTGTGTGACGATGCAAACTATCGCACGCAGATTCTGCTCGCGACGAAGAGGGCGGGGGGAGAATCGAAGAAGGTGAAATAGAGGTTTGATTGTGTGACTGGATAACATGTTTGTGAGAAGGGGGAATACGCACCTCCTCATTGTTGTCTGATAAATAAACTATAGTTGATTGCTGCAAGTGTATACATTCGGACCTGCCTATGTGGGGTCTGTCTGTTTCATGTGCATTTGCTGTGGCATATGGTGCCCTTCACGCTGGTGTGGTGGAGCTTCATGTGTGACGATGCGAACTATCGCACGCAGATCCTCCTTGCGAGGAAAAGGGCAGGGGGGGGGTTCGAAGGTGAAATAGAGGAATACTTGTTGTTCGTGACACCATATTCGCGAGACAAGAAACCTGATAGTGGCTCTTAAACTGCTAGTTGATTAATATAATTTAGGTGTAAGCCCTTAGCCTTCAAATGTGTGCCTACCTATATTAGGATTTGAGTTGCACGTAATCGTACGTTGATTTGTGCTGATTATATGATCAAGTGCCTGCTGAAGGGAATGTCTGATCGCCCAAAGGCTAATGTGGATGGATGGCGGGGAGTTGGTACTCTCCACAAACCATATTGAACAGGGAGAGTGGTATTAGGTTGTGCCTGTCGAAACAGCAGGCTAAAACGAGAAACAGGAAGGAGGGTTTTCACTAGCAGGCAGTTGAGTACATATAGCAAACTCTGATTCGGGTTGTACTCGCTATAGAGTACCCCACTGCAGGCTAGACAAACATCACATTCTGACACACCCCCATAGTCAAAGTGGGGTATAATCAGCACAACAAGCAGGCAGAGCAATAGTTCACAATGATAAGCAAAGCTAGAGACTATCACAGAGGGCAAGTGAGGAGGAGGAGAAACTGTGGAGGCGAGAAGATGGGAGGCGACGGCTGAAGCTGCAGACACACGGGCAACAGGAGTGCGCAGCACTGTCGCTACCAGGCTATACCCGGACTACTCAGGCGACAGGCGCAGCTGGCTCTCTGTGCTCCCAGGAGTGCTCACACTGTAGCTACCAGGCTATACCCGGACTACTCAGGCCACAGACGCAGCTGGCTCTCTGGACTACCAGGAGTGCTCACACTGTGGCTACCAGGCGCAGAGCCCCGGACTACTCAGGCCACAGACGCAGCTGGCTCTCTGGACTACAGGCGCTGCGGACGACAAGACGGCTGCCTCCACTCAACTTCCCCCAGCTGTCCCACACCCCTTTCACACACCCCCTGGAGTACATCTAGCACTGCTCACACGCCACCCCCCTCGTACCACTCCGACGGCTCCAACACATCCACCCCCCTCAGCGGCAGCTGCAGCAGTGGGAGACGGAGGAGGAGGAGGAGCAGGGGACGGCTCACACACCCGGCACCCCCATACTCTCCACCCCCAAACCCTAACACAGGAGCGCGGGCAGCAGCGGGGGTGGGGCGCGGTCAGAAGCTCGGGGGACGGCGTGCGGCACTGGGGCGGACTGTACGGGCCGCGCACGGGCCTGGCGCAGGCCGGACGAACCGCGCGCGGGCTGCCCGGGCCGCGCGCGGGCCTGGCGCAGCCCGTACGGGCCGCACGCGGGCCTGGCGCAGGTCGCGCGGGCCGCGTCGGGCGACGGGGGGCGACGCGCGGGTCCCCGGGGGCGCCTCGACGGGGGACGGGGGGCGACGCGCGGTTCGACGGGTCAGGAAACCGCCGCGCGCCCCGAGCGCGCGGCGGGAAGAAAAAACGCCGCGCGCCCTGAGCGCGCGACACGGAGCAAACATCGCATACGCAGAGCGTGTGATAGGCAGAACAGCAGCGGAAGCATCGGGTGGGCCCACCCACAGGATCGACCCAGGAGGGTCGACCTGCTCTGATACCATGTCGAAACAGCAGGCTAAAACGAGAAACAGGAAGGAGGGTTTTCACTAGCAGGCAGTTGAGTACATATAGCAAACCCTAATTCGCCTGTACTCGCTATAGAGTACCCCACTGCAGGCTAGACAAACATCACATTCTGACAGTGCCACAATCTAAGTATGTTTCCACTAAAATTGCCTACCATGACCTAGCAAATTGACGCGCCCTCATACAGTCGATGCCCGACCCGTGCACGCGAAATTGCCTTGCACCCATCAGAAACCTTGCACCCGTGGCATTCTTGCCGCGATGTTGCACCCTGGGTACAAGCACATGCCGCCACTTGCCGGAGTTCGTGAATGCCCCCAAAAGTGAACCCGGGTCACAAAACAGACTCAGCCGACCCAAGCACGCCTCGGTTTGCAGCCAGGGCGATGCATCGCGAAATCTATGGACAAGCTTCGCAAAACGTTCGGACACCTGAAGGGGAGTTCAGGTGTGCCACGTATGAAATGTCATGGTGCCCCAAACAGAATGTGGTGTTAGTCACACCACCACCTGGTACGTGCACCTGCTCAGTATACACCCCTTGACAGCCTCACGTTGCGGTCCACTGACACGTCACCTAGACTGCTAGTGTTCACATTGAATCACATTTCCTTGCAGACCATCCCCGTTCGCGTGCACCCCTCGGAGACCCCATAGCACCGCAGCCTCGAATGTCTACACCACACACACTCCACACACTATCGATGCAAAACACCATAAAGAGGGGCGCGATATTCAATTCCAATCACTCTCCTTCCACACGCCATAGTCCTAAAATGCCCCGTCTGTACCACCGAGCGCAGCTCGCCCTGCATATCAAGCGCGCGATATGTGCGCACCACGTCGACAACCCCCAGCTGCGTCACGTCGACCTCGCTAGGTGGTGCTTCACGTGTTTCGGCATCTGCCCTGACCGCTCGACTATCGGGCGTGTTTTGAAGAGTGCCGAACGCTGGAAGCTGGATGACGCCAACGACAACGCCGTCCGTATGCGAGGCGGCACGTATCCGGAGCTTGAGCGCGCCATGGCCCGGTGGATTGCCAGGGCGGGGCCTGCGGGGGTGCCTCTCACCCTTGCTACTATTCGAGACCACGTGGCGTACATGGCCCGTGAGAATGGCGCACCCGCCACGTTCCGTTGCTCCATCGGCTGGGTGCGCCCCACATTACGCCGCCAGGGTGTGAGATGCATGAGCGCGGTTGGGGAGGCGGCCGACCAGGACATGACTGCCGTGCGCACCATTCAGGAGAAACTCCCGCAGCTCCTCATGCATTTGGGGATGAGGCCGCGCGACACCTTCAACTTCGACGAGACGGCGCTCTACATCTCCGTCCTGCCGCGAAGGACGTACGGCACTGGCCGTGTGGTGGGAAGGAAGAACGGCAATGAGCGGCTCACCGTTGGCTTCCTCGTCAACGCCGACGGCTCCACCATGTTCCGTCCTCTCGTGATCTCCAAGGCCCGCCGTTCGTACGACTTCCGCCCCGACTACGACCCGGAGGAGTTGTGCTACTGACGCAACACCGCGAAGGGGTGGATGACGACATCGGTAAGCTCCGTCAAAGATGACGCCGTTGATTAAAGCCTGGACCACATCCGGCTTGTTTTGCAGTGCTATTACCACACTGGAAGCCGCTGCCTTGCACATGGCCAGGTCTGAAAACGTTTTCCAGAATTATATGTACTGTATTGATAAGGGCTCATGATGTGAGTGACCCAGCCGTGGCCTTTAAAACAGAAGTCACGCCGTCTGTGAAAGGCACAGAGAGAACGGCTCAGTGGGAAAGGCTCAAACTTCTGTCATTGCGATACCATCCGTGCCAAGAATAAAAACACCCACCTACTATCCCCAAAGCAGCAGAGGGCTCCTAAACCTGTCCCAGAAGACGCCTACAGAACACAAACCTGCGGTTTGAAGTGTCCAGGAGGAGTTAAGTGAACTGGAGCTTCCTCAGAGATCCTATTTCTCAAAATTGACTCCCAAGATTAATCCTTTTACAAGGCGAATCGCGCGAACCGGAGGTTGTATGAAGCGAAGGCCTGCTGCTGCTAAAACACACGTCAATGTGATGTGGCAATGCTCAGGCACGAATGTGAACCACAATGTACACCCTAATGCTCACTCAACCGCCCATTCTGAACACGCCTTATGCCACTCCATACTCCCGGTGATCGACATTCATAGCCAACAGCCCGAACGTTACTAGCCCGCGACAAAACCAAGATTTTCTTGACCTCGAATAAGTTATTGGAGTTTCCTAGACAAAACACGATGGGCTACCCACAATTTTGTCTTCTGTAGTTGAGTGTTCTTTATTCAGTCCCATTTTGCCCCTAGCTTTCGTGTGCTCGAGAGAGGAGCACAGGGAAAGATGGGGAACGGGACTTAAATAGGCATCAGGAGTACAATAACTTTACACGTCACCGAGGGCCATTTTGGGCGGGATGGTGGGTGGGCAAAGTCTGGAACCTAATGTCGGTTCGAACACGAGCAATTACACCCTGATGCTCACTCAACCGCCCATTCTGAACACGCCTACTGCCACTCCATACGCCCAGTGGTCGACATTCACTGCCAACGGCCCGCGCGTTACTAGCCCACGACAAAACTAAGATATTCTTGACCTCGAATAGGTTATACGAGTTTCTCAGACAAGACACGTTGGGCTACCCAGTTACAGTCCCATTCTCCCCGTAGCGAGCTCATGCTCGAAAGAGGAGCATAGAGAAAGATGGGGAACGGGACTGAAATGGGCATCAGGTGTACTTCACCTACCATTCCAGCTACATCTAAACCAACCAGGTTGTTCGGTTTCTCGCTCCTCCCCAACGCACCTGGAAATGTTTAGGGTTAGAAACTTTGACCAGTCGGTACCCCTTCTCTTATGTGGAACATACTGTACCCAGAAAAACACGCCTCAGCAGTCATCCAAGTTTGAAGGTCCTGACTTCCCAACAATAGTTGTGCAGAGCCCATCGGTCATGAAAACTTGACGATTTAGTGGTGGTTTCACAGAATTTTATTCGTTGTACAGCGGTGGCAAAAAAAATCTCGCTATTTTGGGTTTCAGGAGCCTCACATACGGACGTCACCCACGGGCTTGATGGGACAAGCCTCCAAACCGGCAGAATTTAATGCTGGCATCAATTACTGTAGTTAAAACAGATGGAACAAATGGAAGATGTGGAACAAATGGTTCCAAAGTGCCACAACGTTCGTACAGAGGAAGCCCATTACGATCACGCTACCTTTTGCCTTTTGTCGAGATAATTTACAATTCTGCAGATGAACTTGAGTGTTACACTTCCAGAATATACGGGATGAGGAGATTGACATCTCTTGCTGTTTATGTAACTAAAGGTGGATTTAGTAGCATGGTCAAAGTATCTGCCATAAACGCAGATACCATGTGTCATAAAAACAAATACGGTACCAGTATTGGAAATAAAAAAAGTTCCCATGTAAATGTAATCGATTAACTTAATTCAGATACTTGCACAGATCAGGGAAATAACCCCCACTCCCATCTACTACTACCCACTTTTCCCATTTGAACCCCTCTGCCCTACACTCTCCTCCCCCACGTAGACTTATTGACGACAAATAATAAGCGAAAAAATGCCTCATAAAATGTGTTACAATATGAAGTTTAATGAGGAGGCATTCCTGTACGTTGCAGGAGCCGACTCTATCGAGTACGAAGTCGAGGAGTCAGAAGAATCGAAGCAACACCAGCAACCTCAGAGTAAGACCGATGCAGACAGAAGCATTTGAAATGGAAAAGGCGGGAACAGTCTGGAAAACGGGTTCCCTCGCCAAACAGTGTTGTTGTTTTTGTTGTTGTTGTTGTTGTTGTTGTTTTGTTTGTTTGTTTGTTTGTTTGTTTGTTTATTTGTTTGTTTGTTTTTTTTTTCTTCTTCTTCTTCTTCTTCTTCTTCTTCTTCTTCTTCTTCTTCTTCTTCTTCTTCTTCTTCTTCTTCTTCTTCTTCTTCTTCTTCTTCTTCTTCTTCTTCTTCTTCTCCTTCTTCTTTTTTCCTCACTCCGCTGGAATAAGGGAATATACCCCTTAGAGTACATGGCTAGCCTATGTCTTTTTGTATTCCTTTATGTTTCCTATATAAGTCGGATGTATGCATGCTATTATCATCTCAGTCATTTTACATTCACTCTGACCTGAGGTCAGTACTTTCGCTACAACACTACCTGTGATCAACCCTGAGCTGATCCCATGGCTAAGGCCTGTTTAGGATTGTAACCAAATGCAAGAAAGCATAAGATAACTAGTTACCACTAATGCTTATTCCCTATGCTCCCCATTATCCATCAAGAACCTCTCTAGCGCATCATTGGTGTATGTTCCAGCGCCAGGGGCGATTGCCACCGTATGCCCCAAGTCCCCATCCCTTGTATACAAGAACCCACCTGCATCAGTAGCCTGCCCCCCAACCTCTAAGCCCGCACCTGTTGCTCCCAAGTGCGCCACGTGTGGGGCAGCAGGAGCATGATTCTCGAGACTATGATAGGGTGCTCCCTCGATGCAAGAACCTGGGGAGGTGAGGCCCCAGGGAGAAAATGCAGAGTGTTCGGCATTCCTCAGGAGCAACAACTGATCCGCTGAGGGATGAGGAGGTAGAGGGAGGGTCAAGTCTGCCATGATTTGCTGCTGGAAATCCAGCTGCTCGGCACAAGGTTGGGCAGCGTAAGGCTGGTAGGCACTAGGTTGAGCGGCACTCAGATGGTCAGCACTAGGCTGGTCAGCAGCGCCAGCGTCATACGCAGGCCTGACGCCCTCTGTTGCAGGTTCCCCCATTACAACATCTACTCCACTGCTCCCACCACCACCTGTCTTGGAGCCACTAATTTTATTAGAGGCATCATGCGCTAAGGCTTCAATACCGCTCTTCTCTGTGTTGCTGTATCCATGCGAGCCGGCCGTAACATCGGAGTTGGAGGGTGGATAGGCAGGCGAAAGAAGGGCACTGTGCGAGTGGGAGACTGCAACCTCAACACCAGCCCAGGCAGCAGAAACAGGAGTAATGCCAACAGAAGCAGCACCAGTGGCAGTGCCAGCGGCAAAACTGGAACCAATGCCTCTTCCAGCAGCGGCAATAGAGGTCACCGCAGAGGAGGTGAGAGCAGCAGGTGTAATGGGGGGAGTGGAGTGACTGTGGAATGGCATATGCTGCTGGAATTGAGCGAGCTGCTGTTGATGCTGCTGCAGCAGCTGCAGGTGATCTTGCTGCTGCGCCAACTGCAGCTGCTGCTGAGGGATTGAACGCGATGCTGCTGCTGCTGCTGCTGCTGGTCCAACTGTCTCTCATCCAGGAGCGATCTCTGCTGGCCCTGCTGCAGCACCCCTTCTCCGTACCTGCTGCTAGGTAACCAAGGCTGCTTCCCCACTTGTCTGTGAAGCCCTTGAGGGTACTTGCTCGCTGGAAATATTGGCTCGAATATCGGTGTACGAAGCATTCCCCTGTCCAGCTGTCCCGCTCCCATCGGACCCTGATTATGGGACTGGGATCCCCTCACCCTGAGGAGAGGGACAGAAGAATTTGGTTTGTGATTTACGGTTGGGAAGGACGCCAGCGTTGTTGCACCAGGAACAGCAGCAACACCAGATGCACCTGCAACAACAGCCACACCAGCGACACCAGTGACACCAGCAACACCAGTAGCGTCATCAGCAACATGGGCAGCAGCCTTTGTGGTAAGATTCACGCCATTCCCACTACCCACATTGACAGCTGCAGCAGCTACACCATCCATAGTACCAGCAACACCCATACCACCAGCAACACCAGTACCACTTGCACCATTCACACCACTCACTCCACCTAAGTTGCCCACACCGAGCTGGGAACCAGGGGGAGACGCACTGATGATGGGTGGCTCCAGACGGGAAGAGACACTGTGGCTTCGGAATAAAAGAGACGCAGGTTTGGAACGGGGCTCAGAATGAATCTGGGGTTGAGGCTCGGACCAAGGAGGGCCGAAGAGCTTGGAAATCGTGTCGTCACTTTCCGGGTATGGGGTGTGGCTTGTAAGCATCTGCTGCTCCATCCAATCTTCCATGGGAAGAGCTTCATGTATCACGCCTGCAGAAGCACACCGTACAGGTGCCTTGCTCCTCCGGCCGGACTTGAGGTTGAATGAGCTGCGCCGTGGGAAGCTTGATGAACTGGGCGGCTGCTGCTTCTGCTGCTTTTGCTGCTGCTGCTGCTGCTGCTGCTGTTGCTGCTGCTGCTGCTGCTGCTGCTGCTGCTGCTGCTGCTGCTGCTGCTGCTGCTGCTGCTGCTGCTGCTGCTGCTGCTGCTGCTGCTGCTGCTGCTGCTGCTGCTGCTGCTGCTGCTGCTGCTGCTGCTGCTGCTGCTGCTGCTGCTGCTGCTGCTGCTGCTGCTGCTGCTGCTGGTTCTGGTGATGCTGACGCACGTGCGGAATCACAACAACTGAAGATCTGCGGGACATGGTAAAAGCATACCGCAGGCCATGATCATGCCTCTGAAGCAGCCCAAACGGGGACATTGCGGTAGACGCATGCTGCATCATTTCAGCATGCCAGCTTGGAGGCATGCTAGGAGCTGGCATGCTAGGAGCTGAACCCGCCACGTTGCGCACCTCCACCGCCTCCTCTGATTCCTGCAACGGACCATGCCCAGACTGTGTCATCATACCCCCAGCCACTTCCACACTGAAACCCCATGACACCGCTTCTGGCTCGCTTGATGCCTGGGTAACAAAGCATCCCGGGACTGGTATTCCAGCTGTTTGCTCCCAAGCCAGCACATGTTGTCCTACTGCCAACGCTTGTTCCCCTATCACTGCTTGTTGCCCTTCTCTTAGCTGCCCAGGCAACGCATGCTGCCCTGCCTGTCCCCCTATCAGTGTGTGCTGCGCTCCTACCAAAGCCTGCTGCCCGGCTGCCAGTGCTGGGAGCCCAACTGTACTACCAGAAGGTCCCCCTGCTGCTGCACCTACCACCACACCTGCCCCGCGGCCCTGTTGACCCTGTTGACCCCGTTCTGCCTGTTGTCCCTGCTGGCTCTGTTGACCCCATTGACCCTGTTGACCTGGCTGATGCAAGCGGGAGTATGGATCCAATGCTGCAGACATAGCTCCTTGGACTGGTATAGCATGTTGGATTGGCTGTGATGCCATCATGTCGATACCAGCACTGTTCTCACCCTCAGAGATAGTGCAGCCTCCCTGCTGCCTCTCCATCCCTACGCCTCTCTGCTTCGGCGATCCTTGATTTGGGCGACTCCTTTCATGAGCTGCATCCCTGGTGCTAGGCAGCTGGTAGTGTTGATCAGATGCCAACTTTTGAGGCGCCTCAAAAGTAGACAAACGGCTGCTTTCGTGAACCGCATCCTTGGTGCCAAGCAGTTGGTAGTAGTGCTGATAAGATGCCATATCTATCGGCACGGCTTCTGTTCCCCTCATCATTTTCACCCCATTGTCATGGGAAACAACGCCAGCCAAATGCTCGCCCATTCCCGTCTTCGTCTCCATCGCACCCTCCTCCTCCTCCTCCATCGCCCCTTCCCCGTCACTAGTTTCTCTGCTTCCACTGCTTTCTTTCCCTGGAGACGCCTCCCATTCTTCCACTGCCTCCTTGCCTTTCGCAGTACCAACCCCACTCCCCTCACCCCCTTTGGGTTCTTCCATCCCCCCCAGCTGCAGAGCAAACTGCGCTGCTAGTTCAGAGAATAGCTCACTCTCATCTTCCGTCAAGCCCTCAAGTCCCACGTCCTCCAATCCCAACCCTCCAGCCCTTTCCAGATCTGATCCCAACGCATTGAATCCCAGCAACACCTGTCCCGTTACCATGGCACTTGGCAGCTTCTCTGGTAGAATCAAGTGCCGATTCATTGCAGCACTAGTAAACATTGGGTTGCCTTCCTGGAGATGACCGCTGGTGGGTGCTGCTTCAGGGACAGGGATATCAACAAAGGTGGATGGGAGGGCAGAGACAGAGGCAGAGGAGGCAGAGGCGGAATTGGCAGAGGTGGAAGGGGCGGAGGAGGAGGAAGGTGCAGCTAAGCTCGAGCCACTACCTCTCATAGTGGATCTTCCTTCGGGGATGGATATTCCTCCTGCTTTGCTCCCATTATCACTGCCTGCTGACGTTTCTGCTGCAAATCCTACTACTCCTTCTCTTCCTCTTCCTCCTCCCACTCCTGCTCCTCCTCTTCCTCCCCGTCTTCCTCCTCCTCCTCCCCGTCCCATACCTGCAGCTGGTACCAGCGATGTTCCTATAACCCCAAATTCTGCACTTGTTTCTTTTGTAAATGCTGGCCCGCTCGTTCCCACTTCGGACAACCTTTGCGGCACCGCGAGGTTCACTGCTACCCTACTTGTTCCCTCCCCAAACGGCCTTTGAGGCACAGCAAATTTCACTGCTTCTTCTTTGATTTTTCCCTCTGCCGGCCGTATTGTCTGACCCACAGCCTCTCCCATCAATGCCCCCTCCGCGGAATCGTCACTATATCCTACCTCCTTCCCTTTCCCTTCCCCGCTCCTAGTACTACTGCCCTCCCTAACCTGCCTTACAGCCCCAGGTGGCAGCTCTCCCATGCCCATTCCTCCACCATCCCCCCCTGCTGCTCCACCATCCACCCCTGCCGCTCCACCATCCACCCCTGCCGCTCCACCATCCACCCCTGCCGCTCCACCATCCACCCCTGCATCCCTTCCTGCTGCTTCCATCCTAGCCGCTGCTCCTCCTAATAGCACTACAGAATCAGAACCTACGACCCCTCCCCTTTTCTGAATATGCCTCCTTGGGAAGTTAAGCTTCGCCTTGGATCCTCGGATCTCAAAAGCAGCGTCATCAAAGGCACGAGCGGCCTCCTCAGCAGAAGAAAAGGTGCCCAGCCACCTGCGAACCCCACCCTTGCTGTCTTTAATCTCTGCAACGTAACGAAATTCCCCGCGCTTCCTTACTCCCCGGTAATGCCCTGGCTGGTTGTAGTTTCGACTGCGAGCCATTCTGGTGCGTCTGGTTCCACGCAGTGGTGGCCCTGAGGGCCCTACATCAGCGGCAGCCTCACCTTGTTCTAGTGCTTGAGACAAGTGCGGCTGTAGCAACGGCTGTAGCTGCAAGGACAGCTGCTGGATCCGGTGTGATGGAAGCTGCTCTGACTGAGCCTGTAGCTCTGGCTGTGGCTGTGGCTGTGGCTGTGGGTGTAGAGGCAGCGTTGTATAGGACCGTGGTGCAAGCTGTTGTGGCATCTGTGGCTGCTGTGACATCTGCTGCTGTGATATGTGCAGTTGCAGAATCTGTTGTTCCATCTGATGTTGCGTCTGCTGATCTTGCATCCGCTGCTGTGGCATCTGTTGCTGTGGCATCTGCTGCTGTGGCATCTGCTGCTGTGGCATCTGCTGCTGTGGCATCTGCTGCTGTGGCATCTGCTGCTGTGGCATCTGCTGCTGTGGCATCTGCTGCTGTGGCATCTGCTGCTGTGGCATCTGCTGCTGTGGCATCTGTTGCTGAGGCATCTGCTGCTGTGGCATCTGCTGCTGTGGCATCTGCTGCTGTGGCATCTGCTGCTGTGGCATCTGTTGCTGAGGCATCTGCTGCTGTGGCATCTGTTGCTGAGGCATCTGCTGCTGTGGCATCTGTTGCTGAGGCATCTGCTGCTGTGGCATCTGCTGCTGTGGCATCTGCTGCTGTGGCATCTGCTGCTGTGGCATCTGCTGCTGTGGCATCTGCTGCTGTGGCATCTGCTGCTGTGGCATCTGCTGCTGTGGCATCTGCTGCTGTGGCATCTGTTGAATCTGCTCGGGTTGCATCTGCTGCTGTTCCATCTGAGATACCGCTGTTGCATCCGCTAATGTGGCATCTTCTGTGTCAGAATTGCTGCGGGTGTGGCATCTGCTACTATTGCTGCAAGGTTGCTGAGGCATTGTAACTGCCGGGGCTCGCAGGCTCGCAAGGTTACCCCACCTACTAAAACCTCTAAAGCTCTCGTGAAAAATGAAAGACGGAGGGCGGCTCCTAAAGTTCAAATGAAAGTTTCAGAGGGTCTCCCAAGAGGGGATACTTGAGTTATCACGTGGTCTGGTTTGAGGCGACAACAGGGGAAGTACTATTTTTGAGGCTCCGTGCACTGGTGGCACCTGTGCTGTCACTGACAGCAGAAAGATTGCTGATAGTAGTCGTGGTGTGCTCTTGGCGATATGGCTACTGTAGCACTTTTAGTATAGCAGCTTTGCACAACTAGCTGACTTGGTTTGCTGCATTGCACATTCCTGAAGTTGCTCCACTACAAAATGGGTTGTGGCTTCTCTACATTTCTGAATTCCAGAGTTATGGGGTTGGGGAAATATCTGCTGCCAGGGAAGGGGCAGGTCGCCCCTATTGTGCTGTACGGATTTGTACTTGTCCCTTCCCCGTCACGTGCACGGTTCAGGGTTCCAGATATGATTCCCATTGAAATTTTAGGAGGTGTCCAGCGCGTACATTTACAGTTCATAAACCCTGTCAGTTACCAATTTTAGGGTTGTAACGCTGCATTTTACAGAAAGGCTGGACAGGATCAGCTTTCGTTCATGAGACGGCACGTCCCCTGCACGTACGTCGAGTCGTCTGACTCACGTCACCTGAAACAGCATGCGCGCGAAAAAGGGTACAGCATGTGTCCTGCGTACTACAGTGAATTTCGCTCAAACGAGAAATTTTCGCTTGCGCAATGATTCCCACGCGAGGATTGACGAGGGGGCTAGTTACCTTGGTTTCCACACATTCGGAAGACTGTAGAAAATTACGTGGCGGGGGTTGTGTCCGCGCGCTGGAAGGCACAAGCATTTTGGACTAAGCTCGCCCTGGGTTCGTTTCTAGGTACAATGAGTTTTTCTGATCTGAGAGACGTGTGAGGGCTCTAAGTTTCCCAAAACGTACACGCTGGATACGCCCTTATGCTGCCTTCCCCGTGACGGGGACGGTTAGGGTTTCGACGGTTGGTTCTGAAGAGGCGCATGGAGAGTGCATTCTACAGTATTCGAAAAGCATTTTGATCAGCTGGTGCATGGAACAGCCCAGAACAAATCCCGCGGGGATGTGATTACGGCGAAGGGCTTGGAGGTGCTACTCTTGTGTATTCTGAGGACGCGTCCCCTCAACGCCGAACCTGCGATCGATCGTCGGAAATCGAACCTACACCGCACTAAACCTTTGCAAATCGCTTTAAAAACTTCTAGAAGCTTTTTAAACCACGCAAAAAATCGATCTCTCGTAGGATCGATCTCAAGATCGGCGTTGAGGGGACGCGTCTCAGGACGGCGTTGATTGGCCTTCGCATGGACTCGCATCATGCGGTTGGGCTTGGTTTGGCTCAAAAAGACGTACACTTGATTGAAACCGCGGAGAGTGGAGACTCTGGGGGAAAGTCGAGTATCGTCGTGCGGTGACGTGGCATTGTCACGTCTTACGAAACCATTCATTACGCGTCTTATACCACATTCCCCTTATGAATTTTTTTTGGAGGTGAAATTACATTATACAATGCAAAAAACACCACCCACGGTTGTAACCGGGCTAGAGGGCTCAGGTGCAATTGTACCGTACCCTCGCGAAAACCTCTATGGTGGTTGAAAGGTAAGGTGCCTAAAAATTGCAACCTGCCTTCTAAAAGTTTCTGTGACGATCAGAAACTGATCGACCCTAGGATTGATGGTGGTGGGCCGTTGACCTCAATAGCACAGTAAATGTAAAATGCTTGAGATAGAATAAAACATGCAAATACAGTGGTATAAATATGATTACAGGGGAATTTGAATCGTCCTAGCTAGCCATGTACTCTAAGGGGTACATTCCCTTATTCAAATTCAAATCCAACCCTGCGGCGCGTACAGTTACGAAACAGTTCCCGCCAGGCCCTCAGATTGGTTTGAGGGTATGCTGATGGATCAGCGTGCCCTTGCCAACCAGGTGTCCAAATCAGCGTTCGGCTTTTTGTTTATACTGATTTTGTCGGTGTAAAAGTTCATACTAAAGTGAAACAGCAGTGTAAAAAAACCATCAGATTAGAGCTGATGCATGCAACAGTGCACTAGGTTAGAGCTGTTTTGTTGTGATGGCTTCCAGCGAGGCAAAACGATTCGGCGCGCACAAGCTGTAAGTACACCGCATGTGAAAAGATTCCAAGTGTGTGGGCGGGGTGGAGTTTTGTGAATCATGGGAAGGTACAGTCTGTACACGCATCGCGTATTCCCCCCCCCCCCCAACGCGATCAAATCCGTTTCAGTGTGACTCGGTGAAGTATACTGATTTGTCAGTATTACTTGTACAGCAACACGCATAATGGTCAGTGTGGCAAATAGGTCATACTGAAATTTCAGTGCAAAATTGAAGCATATGCTGAATTTTCAGGGAAAACGAAAATCAGAGCTATAAAATCAGCGTAATCAGCGTGTTTTACGCTGATATCTGAGGGCCTGGTTCCCGCCAATTCCCTCATTCCTGCAGCTACTCGATTCCGTTTGCCTCCGACGGTCTGGATTCACTCCAACTGTTCACCCTGCCTTGAGTTAGCTCTGGCTCTTCGTGTTCATGCCTCGATACTGCGTGCTTCGCTTGCTTCGGTTAGGAGTGCAGAATCATATTTCACTATTCGTAACAGTTCCATTCACGCCTTTGACAAATCTCACTCCTGGCAGAAACACCTTTGCATATCCCACATGTTTTAATTGTTGCTTCGGCTTTGGCTTGCTGGCACCGAACCTGCCTTGCCGAAAGTGGGAGGTCAGGGTGATTGCACTCTTGACCTGCTTGAGGCGAGTGACGGAAGGAATGGTTGCTGTGAATGTCACTTCAGTGCAAATGCGCTGAAAGCTGGTTCCAATGTCACTTCTGATCGGACGTTTGGGGTGACGCAAACTGGTTCGAACGACTCTCAATCTTCTGTTAACGGAAGTGAACTGTTGGCGCCACTCTCGCTTGGGCGACGCTGACTTCCTGGTCGAGCGCGCGGGTGGTGCGACCGACTGTTTTGCGAGGTTCGACGCGTGCTGGTCGATGAGGGTGTCGACCTGCAGGCGACCCCTACGATGCCGCCGTCGATGGGAGCCGACGGTCTAGTTCGACCCGTCGACCTACGTGGGACTTGCGGGCAGCTGTCGAGGACTGGAGCTCGACGACTGCAGCTAGCTGTGTTGGTCGACGGGGCTGTCGACCAGGGCAGTTTGACTGGCGCGGTGGTCGACAAGGGGTTCGTCGACCAGGGCGCGCACTGGTGGTCGACCAGGCCGATCAGGTAACATGCTCGACGCGTTCTGCAGAGGCGCGCGAACGTCGTCGAGGCAGCGATGGCGAAGGCGACTTCGGGCTGGTATCCCGAAGTCGATGTGGCTCGTCAGGCGCAGACAACAGCCGACGGGCACGTGACGGTGCACGTCGGGCCAATCGTCTGCGTGCACCTGCGAGCGTGCGCACTGCTGCCATCTACGGGTGCAACGCTGGACAACGCCTCCAGTCACACGCTCACGACGAAGACTGCCGTCACCGAGGATCTCTTCGGTTTCCGCACCCGCAAGCTCGAGAACATGCGGCTCGTTTACCTGCCGCCCAACACTACTTGCTTCACCCAGCCCCTTGACCAGGGCTTGATTGCGATGGCGAAGGCGCGTTATCGCGCACATTGGGTGCGGAAGTTCACCGGCATGTGGGCGGCTGAAGGCGCGACATCCACTGCGGCGCGTTTCAGGCCGAACCTACGCGATGTGATCGCGTGGCTCAACGACGCCTGGATGAACATCCCGCTGCGCACCATCCAGCGGTGCTGGTGGCGCACGGGATGCCTTCCGCACGTATGGGCCATGGAGCTGGCTCATGTGGGGGCACAGGCTATCCGCGATCCCGACACCATGGCCGACATTGGCCTCGATGGGGAGGTCAACGACGTTGGCCTCCTCATCGACCGGCTCTGCCTCGGTTCCTGCGTGATGGCACCGCACGATTTCGTGGCGCTGGACGACAATCAGCCCACTTGCGCGGAGCCGGGTGATGATCCCCTCGCTGTCGAGCCGACGCCGGCCCCAACGCACGACACGTGGGCGCCTCCCTCAACAATGCAGGAGGTGTACGACGACGCCAACCTGGCGTCGCGTGAAGCTCGGCGCACAGCTCGCGCGGCGTGCGAAATGCTCATCGGTTATGCTAAGGCGACCTGCGTCACACCGCGGGACTTGTGCGCCCTCTTCGACATCCGCAACCCGATCATCCGGGAGCGGATGGAGCGCGCAAGCCCGACGCTGAACCTCAACACTGCCCCACCTCCCGTCATGATCTTTGCCTCCACTCCGGAGGCAGAGACTCCCCGTCCTCGTGGCAGGGTCCTCCCTGCCTGGATGACGGTGCCTACGCTGGACTGGATTGCACAGACTGCACGCCGCCAGGAGCTCATCGATGCGGGCGTGCCGGCCGTCATGGGCGGCTACGTCGCCGCGACAGAATGGATGCGGCTGTGAGGCAGATTGGGGCGCCGGCGAAGTGGCATGGGACTTGCTCCTCTGCTGTTTGTGCACGACTTGTGCACAAATTTGAATGTGGGATCATGTGCTCGTGAGATGTAATGCATCGGGCCAGGTGGGGTTGTGTGATTGGCTGTTTGCGTAACAAGGGGAGTTGTGAATTGTACTCGGTTGTATTAGTGCATGGGCGAAAAGTTTGTAACATCGTGAATGCACTAACAACAAACAAAGCACACCAACACTGTTGGGGAAAAAACAAACATGTTACAATGGCAGTTCTTTATAAGCACTTGATACCAGGGGCGAAACTGGGCGAAGTGGTCGAATAGAAGGAATCCCTTTTAAGCTTGGATGACATGCCAAAGTTGGGGGACTCTAGCGAGCATCAGCTGTACCGGATAATCTGGTATCGTGCAGGCAGAGCAGATTCACCGCGGTGCATCATCCGCCAAGGGAAATGGAAATGGACATCTTGGCCTTGTTCGACAGGCTAACACCGACCGCTGCGGAATCATCGTTGCTGTTTCGTTTTCACATTTTTCCTCACGGTCCGCCCGTGAAATGTGCAACTGGGGCTTTAACACTCGTTAACCTATTGGCAGAGTGTTAGGACGCGTCACCTGAAGCGGATCGATCGGCTGTAGGATCGGTTTGTCGCATGGGGTGTAGCACTGTAGCTTCGTAGTCAACCTAGTAACCCTGTTTCGCCTTCTTGCGCGAGTGTACAGTAAAATTGTACTTTCACTCCTGTCACCTGGGCAACCCCAGATCGATATTGGGAGGGCCCATATCGATTGTGAAAACAGAAGGGGGCGGTGTGGTGTCCCGCGCCAGGGTAGCAGGCACGATCGAGCGCCTGCAATCCTTGTTGCATAGTCACTGCACCCCTGGCATAAAGAGGGGTGTGCGACACCGCCCCAGAGGAGCCAACTCACCCAATTGGGTTGACCAGGTGCAACCCCACTAGGAATGTCGCACGCGACCCGGCGAGATCTGCCGCAGGCTGGGTGTACACATCCCCCGATCCTGCATCTCCGAACCTGTAACCTGTGTCTCGGTGTGGAGACCTACGGTTGTATTTTTGCAGGATGCAGCATCGATCGTGTGTGAGCCTGGGCTCGAAATGCAGATTGGTGCGAGTTGGCCAATCCTGGGCCAATCCGCTTCAGGTGACGCGTCCTTAGCCTGTCGAACGCAGCCGATACTTGACCCCTTCGCCCTCACAGAAAGAACCAGGTGCCTTCCCGCACGGGCAAAGGTCTAGCCTTCGCCTAGCCTAACCCTCGCCCCCCAAAAGTGGGGTTTTGCAAAGGGCTCGTCAGGTGTTTGCAGTGGGAGGAACACCCACTCCGTGGACCATAACATAGGTCCAAGTGAGTTGTGTCTGGGCCAAACTTTCTTGTGAGGGTCGCGGTTTGTGGGGATGGGCTCTTTTCTTTTCCTGAGTTGTTACCCAAACACGTTTGGCGTGGTCCCCAAACTTTTCTACTGTGCCCGCGAGGAGCCAGGTTGAAGTTGGCGAGCAGCTTCGCCTTGTGGGACCCGCTCCTTCCGACCGCTAAGAACGAAGCTTCATCTCCCAGTTTTGCCCACGAAGGTGCGGTGAACCCTCCTCTAAACACTAGCCTAACACTCGCCTTTGGCAGGGTATTAGCCTGTCAAACAGGGCCCTTGTGTTCCCTGTGCCAAGCACTCTGCAGTGCAGTGGCAATTGCAGGCCTGCGCGACTGACTGTGAGGCCGAATCAAGTCTAGGAGAGTCACGACACGAGTCACGAAGAGAGCCTTGTGGCATCCCATCATGGGATGATCCCACCTCCCTCACAACCCCCGAACCGAACCCCCTTGTGGCAACATCCAGCGCATGTCCGTGACGTAACATGTTGTGTCGTTTGGGCTGCGATTTGTTTTGGGGAATTCTTTAACGACCCGAACTGAATGTCGCTGGCCTCAGAATTTGTGTTTCAGTACCTTGGCAATTGTCAAGCCAATGGCGTTGTTCTGGAGGCGTTTAGGGTTCCGCACCAATTTGAGCGCGTTAACCTTCCGTGAATTTTCCAGGCGCATTCATGCTGGTTGCATTGCGCGGATGTTGCTGCCCCGCATAACATGTGCGGAGGCTGATGCTAGCTCCCGAGGTAGAATCAGCACCGCACTAGTTGTGCGCCCATTTGCCCGGTGAAGCAACATCTTCGAGCCAGCAAACGTTTAAAATTTTGCGTCCCTAAAGTGTTGTTCTGCAGGCAGAGGCGTTATCTTTGGCGCGAACAGGTTTGGCAGGACTTCGCTTATCACCAAACCTTGATAGGCACAGATCCATTTATCTGCGAAATTCTGCGGACCCTGATTTTTTAAATTTAACGCCTACAGAACAGCGCCAATGAGGCCCAGTTCGGCAGCCAGGGTGAAGCAATTTTGTAGGAAGGTTATGGGAAGGTGAGGCTCGCGTCAAACCAGGGTCAACGAATTTTGACCCTGGGTTGACTGTTCCGCGGAAAACCTGCGCCATGGGGGAGCTGGCGCAGAATGGAGGGGGGGAATGGAAAAAAGTGCCGCAGGAGAGAGGCACATTTGGCCTCAAATGTGCTTGCCCCAGGGCACTGTAGCGGGAACAGAAAGGTTTGCCAGAAAAAAACAAAAGATTTGCGCCCCATGCAGTTGGGGAAATCCAACTTTCAAAAAACGAACAATGTGTTCTTTAATGCAGTAACCATTTCCTTTGTTGGGTCCAATGTTGGCCCGTGAACAGTGAACCCAGGTGGAATCAAAATGTTGATTCTTCTGTTTTCAAAGAATCACTTTCTTCTTCCGTCTCACTAGGGCAGAACCTTTCCGCCATGGGGGGGAGAATAAGTACAGAAGACGGCGCGGAAGCAATGTTTGGAGGTGTTCGCGTCGCTGCTGCTAAACATCTGCGCTTCGATTTCCGGAAAGTTTACCCTACAGCCCGTACTGTTCTGCCCTCGATAATGCGATTAGAAGCTTCGAAGATGACGGAAAAAAAATTCTTCCGCCCTTCTTCCGTGGCTTCCGAACTGGGCCGAGTCATGGCTGCGTTCTGCGGGCGCATCAGCTCTGATGCGCCCTAGGCTCGGCCTGATCCGCACATTGACAAATTGAGGTTCGGGAATGAGGAATTTGAAACTGTAAAATAGAGGCTCGGAAAATTGAAATTGAGGTTTGGGGAATCGGGAAATGGAGATTTGGAATTTAGACATTCCCAATCTCGACCTCACTTTATTGGGTTCGTCGAAGCAGGGAAGCACGAACCTGACGCCTTCCCCAAGGGCATGAACTGGGCTGCCCGACGGAAATTTGAAAAAAAATGGCTCAAATTCGAGCTGAGACGCGCTTCATGCGTCTTCTCGGCGTTGCATCATGCGCGCATAAAGGGAAAAAAAAAAGATTGCTAGGACGATGAATTTCGCGGAGCGCGGCGACATTTTAATTTGTGTCGCCAAAAAGACCGTTCTGCAGGCATTCGGGCTTGGTTTGCCTCGGCAACCAAGATCTTATCGCGAGCCTTGATAACCTTCGGGCTGGTTATCGAAGAAGGCTCCTGGAACGTCCGGAAAAAAATGCAATGTACATTGATGCGGGCTAATGCGCCCGCAGAACGCAGCCCATGTCAAAAATGTGGATTGATCTGCTACGATCAGAGAATGATCGCTTACCAGGATCTACTCGGGAAGGTTCGCACGTAGATAGTTGGTGGGCCCTTTGACCTCAATAGCAGAGTGAATGTAAAATGCTTTGAGATGATTAAAACATGCAAATACAACGATATAAATAAGAGTACAGGGGAATACGAAACGACCTAGCTAGCCATGTACTCTAAGGGGTACATTCCCTTATTCAAATACATTCCCAACCGTGCGGCGCGTACAGTTATGAAACTGTTCCCGCCGAGACCATCCTGCCTGCAGCTGCCCGATGCCGTCTGCTCCGACTGTCTGGATGCCCCTCAACCGTCTGATGCTTCGAGTCAATCTTCAACCGTCAGACGATTCGCGTTCTTGCTTCGATACTGCGTGCTTCTCTTTGCTGCGGTGAGGAGTGCTCAGTAACAATTAAATTGTACTATTCGTAACACCCCCCTTCACTCCTGGCCGTAGCTCGATTTGACCTGCTTGACCATGCCATTGAGTACGGAGCAGTGTTGATACTGCTGGCGTGGCAGTTGTTTCGTGAGGAAGTCTGCTGCCATGTCACCGGTCGGACAATAGGTCAAGTTGACCTTGCCCTTGTCCACCTCGTCCTTCACGAAGAAGTATCGCAGCGCAATGTGCTTGGTGCGGTTGACGAAGCCAGGTTTGTTCGCGATGTGAATTGCGCTATGATTGTCGCAGTGAAGTTGTAAGTTTGGCGAAGCTGGAATTTTCGCCTCCTGCAGGAGTTCCTGTAGGTAGAGGCCTTCGCGAACTGCTGCGGTTGCTGCGATGAATTCTGCTTCGGCTGACGACAGGGCAACCAGCTCCTGCTTCTGTGAGTTCCAGGAGATTGGCCCCGTTGGTTCGAGTCGGAACAGGAAGCCGGTCCTGGACCGTCGATTGTCGGGATCTGCTGCATGATCGGCATCCACATAGCCGACGAGATTGAAGGATGGGGTTGGTGCAGTTGAGTAGCACAGCCCAATCTTGGGCGTTGAAACGAAGAATTGCAAAGCGCGCTGCAGGTCCAGGTGATTCTCAGCCGTTGGTTTCCGTGAGTACTGGGCAAGCTGACTTGCGATGTAGGAGAGGTCTGGCCTGCAGGTGACAGAGGCGAAGAGAAGGCATCCCAGCTGCTGCTGGTAAGTCTGAACTCCAGCAGGGGATAGGGCTTTGTTGTCGGGTTTGTGGTTCGGTCCAGGGGTTCGGTAAGGTGTCGAGAGAGGTGCAGG